CCCTGTCCTTTCTCACTTCTCGACTGTCCTCCCGTGTCCGGCGGCCCCCTCTGGCACCCTGTCTGGTCTTTACCTCCCCTCGTTCTCTACGAACTTGGTGAGTGGTGCTGACCTGCAGGATGCGGGGGTTCACCAGTTCACTCTTGCGAGTCAGCGGGTGACCCACTGCACGGACGCTCGGACAGGCCGACACTTGGCCATGTTTACTCGTCGGACGGGGTCGAGCCTATACACACTTACCACTGCGTCTGGTCAGGTAGCTGCATCGGGTCAGGTGTTTGCTGCAGCGTCTAGGTCTGGTCCTGAGTCTGCCCCCTGCTCCTGTTGCCTCCTGTCTCACGAGACTCTCCTCTTGCACCACCGCCTTGGTCACCCCTCCTTGCTTCGTCTCCGAAGCATGGCCTCCCGTGTCCTTGTCTCTGGTCTTGCCCAGTCCCTCCCTCCCCTTCCTCCGGAGCCTGGCCCTACCTACGTCCCCTATGTCGAGGGGTGGCAGCGGGCTGCCCCTCACTCCTCCCAGTTTCCTCCGACAGAGGCCCCGCTGCAGACGCTTCACATGGATGTGTGGGGCCCGGCCCCCGTCCTTGGACACGGTCACGAGCGCTACTTCCTGCTGGTGGTTGACGACTACTCGCGTTACACCACAGTCTTCCCCTTGCGCAGCAAGGGTGATGTCACTGAGGTGTTGATCAACTGGATCCGCGCAGCTCGTCTCCAGCTCAAGCGGAGCTTCGGCTTGGACTTTCCTGTTCTGCGTCTGCACTCTGACAGAGGCGGAGAGTTCTCCTCTGGCCTTCTGCGAGCCTACTGTCGTGCACGAGGCATCCGCCAGACCTTCACGCTTTCGAACTCTCCACAGTAAAATGGGATTGCTGAGCACCGCATTGGCATGGTCATGGACGTTGCCCGTACGTCCATGATGCATGCGGCTGCCCCCCATTTTCTGTGGCCGTTTGCGGTCCGGTACGCGGCGCATCAGATCAACCTTCAGCCCAGGGTCTCCATGCCGGAGACCTCCCCAGCCTTGCTGTGGACGGGGAAGGTTGGTGATGCATCTGCGTTCCGTGTCTGGGGATCTCGGGCGTTTGTTCGCGACTTGTCTGCGGACAAGCTGTCCCCTCGTGCTGCTCCTTGCGTCTTCCTGGGTTTCCCCCCTGACGCGCCAGGGTGGCAGTTCTACCACCCCACCTCTCGCCGTGTTCTGTCCTCCCAGGACATCACGTTCGACGAGTCGGTCCCCTACTACCGTCTCTTCCCCTACCGCACTCCGTCCCTCCCCCCGCTACCGCTCTTCCTTGTGCCAGGTCCCCCCCCGGTAGATCCCCTCCCCCCTTAGGGTCCTGCCCCTTCAGGTGTGTCCCAGGTAGACGTTGTCCAGCCTGTCGAGGTCGTTGGTGACTCTCGTGCTGCTGAGGGTGCTGAGCCTGGGGGTGCTGACTCTGGGGGTGCTGACTCTAGGGGTGATGAGCGTGTGGGTGCTATGCCTAGGGGTGCTGAGCCTGAGGGTACTAAGAATGGGGGTGCTGAGCCTGGGGGTGCTGAGTCTGGGGGTGCTGAGCCTGGGGGTACTGAGCTTGGGGGTGCTACGCCTGGAGGTGCTGAGCCTGAGGGAGCTGGGCCTGCTCGTGTGGCGTCTGGCGGTACTGAGTCTGGCGGTTCTTCGGGTGCTTCGTCTTGCCGGGAGCCACTCTCTCCACAGGAGCTGCGTGAGTGGTTTGCCAAGTGCTGGAGGCGAGCTGCTGGAGCTGGAGGTGCCGCGGGTACTGCAGTATCTGCTGCTGCTGAGACTGCTCGTGCCGCGGGTCCCGGAGGTGCTCGTACTGGGAGTACTGGAGCTGCTGGGCCTGCGGGTACTTCTGGAGCGGGAGCGGCTTCGGGTATTGGCGCGGAGGCTACTGCTGTCGGTCCTGGAGGCGGTCCTCCTTAGGGTGCTACTAGTGCAGCTGGAGGTACTGGAGCTCGAGGTGCTGCTGGTGCTGGTGCTGCCGCTGAGGGTACTGGTGCTGTCCTTGCTGTGTGTGGAGTTGCCGCGCGGCCTCGGCTGTACTTCGTTCCGCTCCTTCAGCAGGTCTTGGTCTCCCGCCTTCTACTGGTCCTCCTCCTCCCTTAGAGTGTCCACAGCCTGTCCTGTCACAGTTACGGTTACATCCGGCCTCCCCAGTGCCTGCTCTGTCTCCCTACACTGGTCCTACTGGAGGTCTTGCTGAGCGTCGTGAGCCTGCGTCTCGCCCTGCGTCGTCTGTCCGTGCTGCTCGCGCTAGTGGTCGTGTTTCGCGTCAGCGTCCTCCTTCTGTCCCTGGCATGCAACGGATGTCTCTACGTCCGTCCACTGCTCCTCTGCGTGCCCCTTTGCCTTCTCCTCCTGAGTCTTCTCTTCCTGCTCTTGCCGACCCGGAGTCGGACTCTCTTCGTGCTGCCAGTCCTACTGTCACGCGTCTCCTTGCTACTGTTGTCACTGACCCTTCCTTTGAGTCCATTGCTGCGTCTGCCCTAGTTGTTGAGCTCGTCGACTTTGCTGCTCGCTGTCGTCTAGAATACGTTGCCAGTCTTGTTGCTGAGTCTGAGTCTGTCTGTCCTCCGTCCGTCGGGGGTGAGTGTGCCCTTGGCACGGACGTCCTTGAGGACAGGCAGGAGGAGTTCCACTGCTTGGCCGCTGCTTCACCTCATCTCGTGTCCGTACTGCTTACCCCTGAGGGAGACCCGGATGCACTTGACATCCCGACTCCGCGCTCTTACGCGGAGGCGATAAAGGGTCACTACTCCTCTCAGTGGCAGGCAGCTATGGACGCAGAGATGGCTTCCTGGAAGTCCACGGGAACCTACCTTGACGCCGTTCCCCCTCCTGGGGCGAACATCGTCAGTGACATGTGGATTTTCAGGGTGAAGCAGCCGCGGGGTTCTCCACCTGTCTTCAAGGCGCGTTACGTGGCTCGTGGCTTCAGTCAGCGGCAGGGAGTTGACTACTTTCAGACCTTCTCTCCCACCCCGAAGATGACCACTCTTCGGGTCCTGCTGCACGTAGCTGCTCACCGTGACTACGAGCTACACTCTCTTGACTTCAGCACTGCTTTCTTGTAGGGCAGCCTGCACGAGGAGATCTGGCTGCACCGCCCACTTGGCTTCACTGGGACTTTTCCTCCTGGCACCCAGTGGAGCCTCGGGCGGCCAGTCTACGGTCTCCGCCAGGCACCGCGTGAGTGGCACGACACATTGAGGACTACACTTACGGCTCTTGGGTTTGCTCCCTCTACTGCCGACCCGTCGCTGTTTCTGCGCACCGACACTTCTTTGCCGCCGTTCTACATCCTCGTGTACGTCGACGACTTGGTCTTTGCCACAGCTGACACTGCTGGACTCGCCCACGTGAAGTCCGAGCTGCAGAAGAGACACTCGTGTCAAAGTTTAGAAGAAAGAAGAGGATTGCACTAGCAAGAATGGGGATACAAATAGCAAACCCTAGAGGGGTTGTACTCGCTATAGAGCACCCCACTACAGGCTAGAGCATAAGATAACATTCTGACAACTCGTGCACTGACCTGGGTGAACTGCGCAGCTACCTTGGCTTGCAGATCACTCGGGACAGAGCACGCCCCACCATTACCCTGACTCAGTCACACATAGTGCAGCAGGTCCTTCAGTGCTTCGGCTTCACGTACTCCTCGCCTCAGGCCACTCCTCTGCCTTCTCGCCACTCGCTCTCAGCTCTGCCTTCGGATGAGTCCGTAGAGTCAAGTGGCCCGTACCCAGAGCTTGTTGGCTGCCTCATGTACCTGATGACCTGCACACGACCTGACCTTGCATACCCTCTTAGCATTCTCGCACGATATGTTGCTCCTGGGAGACACAGACCGGAGCACATGGCTGCAGCGAAGAGGGTGTTGCGCTACTTGTGCAGTACGTCGGGCATGGGGCTTGTGCTTGGAGGGCAGAGTCCAGTGGTTCTCACTGGGCACGCAGACGTTTCTTGGGCTGACGACCAGGCTACGCAGCGGTCGTCACAGGGTTACACCTTCAGCCTTGGTTCCGGCTCTGTTTCTTGGCGGGTTACTCGCTCGTCTTCTGTTCTCGGCTCCAGTTGTGAGGCTGAGATCTACGCAGGAGCCATGGTTGCACAGGAGCTTCGCTGGCTCACCTACCTGCTGACTAACCTGGGAGAGCCGCCTCGTTCTCCTCCAGTGCTGTACGTCGACAACAAGGCCATGATGGCCTTGTGTCGGGAGCAGAGACTGGAGCACAGAACGAAGCACATTGCTCTTCGCTACTTTCTTGCTCGTGAGCTGCAGCAGCGTGGTCAGCTTCGTCTTGCGTACGTGGCCTCTGAGGCCAACACTGCTGATATCTTCACCAAGGCACTTGCGCCTTGTGATCATCAGCGCTTCTGTACTCAGCTGGGTCTTGTGCCTGCCTTGCCTCACTTGCTCACCTCTTGACCTTGCTTGTACTGTTACATATATATATACACATGCCCTTGCTTGTCTAGTCTTTTATATATATGTACTCCTGCAAGTTAACTGGCCTTGTGGCCTTGAACTTTTGCTCGGAATGTGTGGTGACTTTGTGATCCACCCTGAGCTTGCTTTGCTTGACTGGTCTTGTGACCCCTTGTTCTCCCCCACTTTGCCTATGGGGGTGTGTCAGAACATATAGCTTATGCATATTGTGTAGGCTATAGTGGGGTAGCCCATAAGGGGTACAACCCAATTAGGGTTAGTACTTGTACCCAACTCATTCATAGTTCATTCATTCTCGTTTTAGTTTTCTTAGCATGGTGGAATGAGAAGTGGATAGATTGGGCAGCAGGGTGACCGAAATGGTCAAGTGTGCAGATAATTCTATTCTACGGGAGAGCTTGACTAGCGTGGGACACATTGTCAGAGTTCTGGCAGTGATTCTTAGAAGTGAATTTAGTTGCCTTCGTAGAATCCAAGCATATTTCCACTAGCAAAAGTTGATAGAACAAGAATATGGTACAAGGAAGGAGAACCAAAATAGCAAAGACAATGAACCCTGTAGAAACGTTCCTCGACAAGCAATTGAATCCGTCGAGTCAGCAACGGCAGGTGAAACGACAAACACATGCATATTTCATCTGAGTTGGTAGTTGCTCAGGTTTACAACGTTCATAGTTGTGCACGTTTTTACTGTTAGTAAAAACGTGTTCCAGGTTCAGCTTCCTTACTGAATCGACTTCTCCTGGGGAGTACAATTTCCGAAATTACTTGATTGGTTGAAATTTGCTGTTTCGTGAATGGGTGAAATTCGTGCACCTTGCAAATTTTGGAGCAAAGTGATTCTGGTCGATCAGAGTCGCTCTGCTCGAGAACTAAATTATGTCGACCAGCAATCCGTCGAAATACCAATTTTGCCAATTCCGTATATCAGAAAGGCTTGAATTTGATGTCGTTTTACTCCCGTCGACGAGCTCCTTCTAGACGAGGACTCTGATCGAGCAGAGGAAATACTTCTACCTCGACCAATTAATCTCGTCGACAAACGACTCGTCGCACACAGATAAAATTCCCCGAAGTCGCCGATGACCACAAAACGAACATCGCCTTGTTCCGAAATGCATGGTCGGCTCTGCCTAAGCGAGGGCGTAGCCTTTTCTCTTCGTCAAAATGGGCGTGGAAGGTGTGGTTTTTGCCTCCTACACTATTGGTGTTCCCCCACCACGCTCACCGTTGACCTCCTCGAGGAGCGCCTCCTTGCAGCAGAGAAGAGTATAGTCACTGTAGGAGCCTCTCATGGTGACCCTCGTGCCCCTTTCTTTGAGGGGTGCTCCCCCGACCCTCTTTTGCCCTCTCTTGCCTCTGCTGCTGCTGTCGACCTCGTTGGCACCGAGTCGGTTGGCATTGCGTCTGCTCCTAGTGGGAGGCGCCGCAGCGGCAGGAGCAAGGGGGGCAAGGTGCTGGAGGGGATGGCGGGGGCGGCGGTGGTGGCGGTGGAGGCGGCGGAGGGGGTGGGGGTGGAGGTGGGGGTGGTGGCGGGAGTGGGGGCTTTGGTAGCGGTGGTGGAGGTGGAGGCGGCGGAGGCAGCGGTAGTGGGGGTGGAGGTTGTCGGATCCTCACCACTCCCTTCTGCCCTTGCAATCCTTGCTCCTTTGGCTGCCTCCCTCTCTTCCAGTACCACCCTCTCCTTGTCTTACTCCTGCTCTCGTGCTTCCCTCCTGCCCCATGTCACTGATGCTCTCATGCTCCCCTCCCTCCCCTAATCACTGGTACTCTTGATGCCCTCACTCCTGATGAGCTCTGGCTCCTTCACATAACTCTCCCTCCACAAAGTACTGACTGCGCCATGGCTTGTAATATCTCCTTCTTAACCACTACTTGCTTCGTTGTTGCAAGAATATCGTGCAGTAAAGGAATATACAAGCATTGAGGCTAGCTTCCTCAGAATCCACCTATTCTACCAGATCTGTCACCACCAGGGGTCCTCTCCCTCCCTAGTCCGCTCGCTAGCAGCTATTGCTACCTTCGAGAAGACGGACATCCGTGCTGCCTGTCGCCACTGTCACCCGCCTCTAGCTACCTTGCCTCCAGCAGGGTCTGTCAGATCCAGCTGGCTACTGGGATCTTGCCTGCACACACAGGGAAACAAGCACACATGCAAACGAACACCCATCCAAGTGCCTGTGGTAACCGCCCTGCCACCGCTGCCACTGCCTTGCGTTATATTCCCACCAGAGTCCACGTCCTTCTCACGTTAGTCCCGCCCTGCCTACTTCCCATGCCTTCCCCGACCCTTCACTCAGGCAGACGTCCCCAACCCCCAAACCTCTCATGTTCCCTTCCCTGCCCCAACCAACGCGTGACCCTTCGCTCCTCATCCTCGGCACAGTATCGGCTCGCTTATTTACAATATGTACACTTTGTACATTCCCTCCCTTGCTCTCCTTGCCTTGCCCTTCACTTTCACATAAATGTGACAGCTGCCGAATCCTCACCACTCCCTTCTGCCCTTGCAATCATTGCTCCTTTGGCTGCCTCCCTCTCTTCCAGTACAACCCTCTCCTTGTCTTACTCTTGCTCTTGTTCTTCCCTCCTGCCCCGTGTCACTGATGCTCTCATGCTCCCCTCCCTCCCCTAATCACTGGTACTCTTGATGCCCTCACTCCTGCCCCCTCCCATGACCAGCTGTTACCGTCCTCGCCCTGGTCATGGGACCAGCATATGCCTGCGCCCTCTTGGCCTTGCCAGCCACCGCCACGTTAGTCACATGATCCATGACTCGCTTGCCTCCCTCCTCCTCTAGCACGAGTACTCCTGATTCCCGGACCTCCTTCACCATCCACCTCTGCTTGGACACGCCTAGGCCCAATCCATCCTTCTTTGCTCGCCGCTCTTAGAACCTAGGCATGGAATGGAGTTGACTATCGAGAGAATTGGTACAAGGAGAAATACCCTAAGGGGTTATACCCCACAGTATCTACCCCACTACAGCCTACCCACAAATATAACATATGCATATGTTTGACACACCTCCATAGGCAAAGTGGGGGAGAGCAAGAGGTCACAAGACCAGTCAAGAAAAGCAAAGCAAGCTCAGGGTGGATCACAACGTCACCACACACACTGAGCACAACCAAAGGGCCACAAGGCCAGTTCACATACAAAGATATATATGCAACAACAACAGCACAATGATCTCTACCTACAAGGAGCAAACAAGCAGGTATATATATATAGAGATCACAGTACAGGCAGAGCCAACAGCAAGTGAGGAAACATAGGCACAAGGCCCAACAAAGTACAAAACCGCTGATGATCACCAGACGGAAGAGCCTTGGTGAATATATCAGCAGTGTTGGCCCGAGTGGCCACGTGAGCAAGACGAAGCTGACCCCGCTCCTGCAACTCTCGAGCCATGAAGTAACGCAGAGCGTATTGCTTCGTTCTGTGTTCCTGACACAAGGCAATGGCGGTCTTGTTGTCTACGTACAGAACTGGAGGAGAACGAGGCCGCTCTCCTAAGTCGGTCAGCAGGTAGGTGAGCCAACATAACTTCTGTAGAGCCATGGCTGTGACGTAGATCTCAGCCTCACAACTGGAGCTGAGAACAGAAGACGAGTGTGTAGACCGCCAAGAAACAGAGCCAGAGCCAAGACTGAAGGTGTAACCTTGTGACGACCAGTACGTAGCCAGGTCGTCAACCCAAGAAGCGTCCGAGTGCCCAGTGAGGACAACGTTGCCCCGTCCTCCAAGCACGAGCCCCATGCCCGATGTACTGCACAAGTAGCGCACTACCCTCTTAGCAGTATCCATGTGCACCTTTCGATGCCTACCAGAAGCCACGTAGCGAGCCAGAAGGCCAACAGGGTACGCAAGGTCAGGACGAGTGCAGGGCATCAGGTACATGAGGCAGCCCACTAGCTCTGGGTAAGGACCACTCGGCTCTACGGACTCGTCCGAAGGTGGAGCTGAGAGCGAGTGACCTGTAGCCAGAGGAGTGGACTGTGCCGAGGACCAGGTGAAGCCGAAGCGCTGAAGGACCTGCTGCACCAAGTGTGACTGGGTCAGTGTGATGGTGTGGCGTGCTCTATCCCGGGTGATCTGCAAGCCAAGGTAACTGCGCAGCTCACCCATGTCTGTGCATGTATGTCTCTTCTGTAGCTCTGACTTCACTAGGGCAAGAGCCTCAGTGTCAGCAGTGGCAAAGATCAAGTCGTTGACGTACACGAGGATGTAGAACGGCGGTAGCAAAGTGTCGGTGCGCAGAAACAGCGACGGGTCAGCAGTCGAAGGAGCAAACCCAAGAGCCGCAAGTGTCATCCTCAGTGTGTCATGCAACTCACGGGGTGCCTGGCGGAGGCCAAAGACTGGCCGCCGGAGGCTCGAGTGGGTATCATAAGGGAACGACCCAGTGAAGCCAGGTGGGCGGCGTAGCCAGATCTCCTTGTGCACACTGCCCTATAAGAAAGCTATGCTGAAGTCAAGAGAGTGAAGCTCGTAGTCACGCTGAGCGGCAACGTGCAGCAGCACCCAAAGAGTGGTCATCTTCGGGGTGGGGGAGAAGGTCTGGAAGAATTCGACACCCTCCCGCTGACTGAAACCTCGAGCAACGTAACGAGCCTTGAAGAGAGGCGGAGAACGTGGCCGACGCTTCACCCTGAAAATCCACATGCCATCGACGATGTTCGCCCCAGGAGGGGGAACCTCGTCGACGTAAGTGCCTGTGGACTTCCAGGATGCCATCTCTGCGTCCATGGCTGTCTGCCACTGAGAGGAGTACTCACCTGCAATCGCCTCAGCGTAAGAGCGCGGGGTCGGGATGTCTGGAGCATCCGGGTCTCCCTGAGGGGCAAGCAGCATGGCCACGAGATGAGGCGCAGCGGCTGCAAGACACTCAAGGTCCTCCTGCCTGTCCTCAAGGAAGTCCGTGCCAAGAGCACACTCACCCCCGACGGACGGAGGACAGACAGACTCAGACTCAGCAACAAGACTTGCGGCGTAGTCTAGACGACAGGCGGCAGCAAAGTCAACAAGCTCAGCGACTAAGGCAGACGCAGCAGCAGACTCAAACGACGGGTCAGTGACAACAGCAGACGCGTGACAGTAGGGTGAGCAGCACGAGTGTGGTCAGACTCAGGCTCCGAAACGTCAGGCGGAGAAGACGCAAGAGGGGACTTCAGGGGAAAATGGTGCGGAGCAGAGGAAGGATGCAGGGTCATGAGGTGTGTGTCGGGGACAGCCGACGGACGCGGGCTGGGCCCCCCACGTCCATGTGCATGGTCTGCAGGGGAGCAGACGTCGGGGGGAACGAGGAGGAGTGAGGAGCGGCGCGCTGCCGCCCCTCGACACACGGAAGGCACGGAGGGGCAGGGGAGGGTGGGAGAGGAGGCAGAGTCTCTTGAAGGCCAGAGACTAGGAGTCGGCGGTGCATGGCTCGAAGGCGCTGCACCGAAGGGTGACCAAGACGGTGGTGCCAAAGAAGGGTCCGGTGCGACAGAGCACGACACGAGCAGGGGGCCACTAGCGGACCAGACGTGGACGCAGACGCAGCCACCTGAGGGGACGCAGTTGTCAGTGTGTACAGGCTCGAGCCAGTCGCACGGGTGAATGTGGCCAGGTGCCGACCAATGCGGGAGCAAGTACAGTGGGTCACCCGCTGACCTCCAGGAGTGAACTAGTCAACCCACGCATCTTGGAGGTCAGCGCCACTCACCAAGTTCGTAGAGACTGAGGGGATGTGAAGACCCAACAGTGAGCCTGACGGGATCGCCGGACACGGCAGAACCGTGGAGGAGTGTGCAAGGACAGGGCCCTCAGAGGGGTCCGCCAGGGAGACCGCAACCGGCCGACTAAGCGGCGTGAGTATGGTGCTGTCACGAAAGAAGGAACAAGAAGCTCCTGAGTCCAGTGTGAAGGTGTGCAAGGCCTCAGCAGGCGCAGCACCAGAGAGAGCAGACTCACTAGCACCTGGAGCAATAGACTCTATACCTGGGTCAGGCGGCACACACAGGGAACAGGCATCCTTGGCACGAGTAGGCAATGCATACATGGCAGTAAGGATAGTATCATAGTCAAGAGCAAAGATATCAACCCTCTGCCTAAGCAGCTCCAGCTAGGTGGGGAGCTCAGCCTCGTCGCCAAGCTTGATACGCCAGGCGTCGCTCATACGAGTGAAGCAGCGGGACTGTGGGTGACCAACCACCCCGCAAGCCTAACCAGCCCGATCACCTGTGTGAATGACGTACGAGCAGTCTTCAACAGTACTCCGAGACCCTCTACCCTGAGCGTACCACTCATGAGGCTGCTGGGGCGTAGGTGTCTTGCGCGGACGCCGCTGCAGCTGCATGTGGCCACTGCCAGACGCCCGCGACTGACAAGCTCCAGGGCGACTGCCACGACGGCCACCGCCACAACCCCAACTAGCGTACCACTCACGAGGTGCTGTGGCGTGTGGGACTCGCGCGGACGCAACTGGAGCTGCATCTGGCCATCGCCAGTAGCAGCAGTAGAAGTAGTAGAAGCATTAGCAGCAGAAATAGCAGGAGCAGCAGTAGCAGCGCAGGCAGGGCAGTGCGGCTCAGTAGAGTAGGGCGGCACAGCCCGGCCACGCGACGTGGCTCGGTTGGACGGCTCGGCGCGGCGGAGCGGCGCGGTCCAGCTGGGCGGCACGGCTCGGCTGGCAAGCAGGCGCGGCAGGCAGGCTGGCGCGGTAGCACGCGGGAAATGCGGGTATGGCACGTGCTCACCAGTGGCGGTAGGGTCGGCGCTCGGCGGGCGGCGGTAGGGTAGGCGCACGACGGCGGCGACGGAGGGGCCGCGACAGCGGCTGCAGGGCAGGGCCGCGTCGGCGGCAGGGCAGGTCCGCGACAGCTGCTGCAGGGTGGGGCCGTGACAGCTGCAGGGTGGGGCCGCGACGACTGCTGTAGGGCGGGGCCGCGACAGTGGCAGGGCGGGGCCGCGACGGCGGCATGGGGCTCCGCGACGGCGGCAGGGGGCTCTGCGGTAGCTGCTGCAGGGCGGGGCCGCGACTGCGGCAGGGGGCTCCCCGGCAGGGGGCTCTGCGGCAGCTGCTGCAGGGCGGGGCCGCGACTGCGGCAGGGGGCTCCGCGGCAGCTGCTGCAGGGCGGGGCCGCGACTGCGGCAGGGTGCTCTGCGGCAGCTGCTGTAGGGCGGGGCCGCAACAGTGGCAGGGGGCTCCGCGGCAGCTGCTGCAGGGCGGGGCCGTGACTGCTGCTGCATGAGCGACGGCGGCGGCCAAGGGGGGAGTGGGGGGGGAGTCGCCGCAACTAGCTGGGACGGCGCCCAGGGGGCACTGCGACAAGGAGGGGCGACGCCCCAGGGGCGCCGCGACAAGCAGGGGCGGCGTCCAGGGGGGGCGCCGCGACGAGGAAGGACGGCGCCCAGGGGGCGTCGCGACAAGCAGGGGCGACGTCCAGGGGGGCGCTGCGACGAGCAGGGGCGCCGCCGCGCGGGTTCCGCAGGGGCGTCGCGACGAGCAGGAGCAACGCGCGGCTCGGCAGGGCGCCGCGCAAGCTGCAAGGGCAGCGCCCACGGGCTGCAAGGGCAGTGCCCACGGGCTGCAAGGGCGACGCGCGGCTTGGCAGGGCGGTGCGCAGGCTGCAGAGGCAGCGCCCACGGGCTGCAGAGGCAGGCACGGCTGCAGGGGAAACACGGTCGCAGGGGCGAGTACGGCTGCAGGGGCAGCACGGTCGCAGGGGCGAGCACGGCTGCAGGGGCAGCACGGTCGCAGGGGCGAGCACGGCTGCAGGGGCAGCGCGGTCGCAGGGGCAGCACGCAGGCTGCAAGAACAACACGGATACAGGGGCAGCGTAGGAAAAAAAAAATCAGTTAGGGCAGGACGGAATGTTCGGTGGGCCCTAGGAACGATTCTGCTCTAATACCATGTTAGAATAAGCAGGCAGGAATGGATGAACTAGAAGAAGGTTGGGTACAAATATGAAACCCTAAAGGGGCTATACCCCATATTGGCTACCCCACTACAGCCTACAATCATATATAGGATAGATAATTTGACAGTTTCCCTTGACTCCCAGTAAAGGGGGGGGGGGGGGGGGGGGGGGGGGTGGGGTTGTCAGTAGATCTGCAATGGTGATAAGCCCTTTTATCCCAATGGTCTAGTAGTTGGGATTCTTACATATCCACCCATATATCTTCTAGCTCACTTAGGCACCTTGTTCACATATGTAGCGCCCCTAGTGCCTACGTCCTTCACGCCTTCCCGTCCGTAGTGCTAGCAGCACCAGCTTGCGCCAGTCGCGCTAGCCCGTGCCAGCCCAGCCCCGTCATGCCAGACAACGCCAGCCCACGCTAGCTCGGGCCAGCCGTGCGCCAGTCCTGCTTGCCCGCGCCAACCGCATACACCAGCCTGCGCGCCGCCCGTGCCAGCCAATGCTTCAGCTAACGCGACAGCCTCGCTGTTTGCGTGCCAGCCATCGCACCAGCCACGCTGCCGGCGCGCCAGCCTGCGCCAGACCGCGCAAGCCAGCACCGCCCGCGCGCCAGCCTGCACTACCCTCCAACGCGCACCTCCCGCTTGCGCCAATGCCAGCTGCATCAGTATTCACGCAGCTGTGCCCGCGCCCGCCCGCAGCAGCTTGCGCACGGCCCACACCAACCACCTATGCCAACCAGTTCCGTCTTACTGTGCACACCTGCTGCCGCGCTCTACCATGTTCGCATGTTGCACGCTCCGCTGCGGCATCTGCTGAGTGTGAGCCTACTGCACCCAAAACCGTGCCCTACCGCAACTATCGCGCGCCCTTTGTTCTTCACAACTCAAAATTTTGCCCTCCTTGTCTGCCTTCTCTGCATGTGACGGCCCCCTCTTATCTGCTGTAGCTATGCCATTTGTCCCTCCCAATATGGCGACTAACTTTGTCCTTTGGCTTGATGTGGAGGGGCTGGTGGTCAACTTTGCCGCGTGGAATCTCAATGTCACGCTCCTCCAGTGGAACCAGCTTAAGGGTGACGTCCCTCTATATACCCACGCTTTGAATGAGCTACCTGCCCCCCCACGTCCTACTGCTCTTGCTGCTTACACCACTTTGGAGGCACGGAAGGAGCACTACGACGCCCACCTTGCATGCACACTGTGGGAGCCGCGTGACACTGCTGCACGTCTTTCTACGGTATCAGCTGCATCATGCCACCGGCCGAGCTGGTGACTTTCGCCAGATTGAGATGGCGAAGGAGTGCTTTGACGTTGTTGTTGCTTGATGCTCTACCCCTTCCTTTGGCTCTCTAGGACGCTGCATTTTGCATTGCTTGATTCCTTATCTCTTTGCGTCCTCCACTCTTGCTGACCTCGTTACCCACCTATGCTCACAAGACACTGGATACCACGCAGCTTGCATTACTGAGTTCCTTGGTATGCACCCTCCCCCGTGCATCCTGACTGCTGGCTCCGCAGGTGGAGCTTGACGTCGAGCGCCGCGCGACAAAGTCACTTCCCTGCCCCTCGGCATCGAGCTCTAGTACAAACTCAGACGCCATGACAGGGGTGACAGGAGGACAGCTGCAGTAGATGAGAAGGGACAGCCACATGTGGAGGAGGAGAAAGTCAGATGCAGGCAGGCAGACAACGGGCAGCACAACATGCAGACGCGGCAGCAACGACAACAGCTGCAGACGCTGTGGCGTCGACATGTGCGTCGGTAGGTTCAGCGGTTGGCAGGCGCGGCAGCAGGCGAGAGGCAGGAGTTGTGGCAGGCGAGAGGCAGGCGCGCGGTAGGCGCCACGGCAGGCGTGCAGCAGGTGAGGGGTAGGTGTGTGGAAGGCGTGGCGGCAGGCGCGTGGCAAGTGCGGCGAGCATGCGGTAGGCGCGCGGCAAGCGAGGGGCAGGCGAGCGGCATACGCGGCGGCAGGCGTGGCTGGGCGACCATGGGGCCGCGACAGCGGGAGGGCCACGACGGTTCGCTAAGGGGGGGCGCTTGAGGGGAGTGGGCGCTAGAGGGGGGGGTGCTAGAGGGTGGGGGGGCAACTAGGAGGTAAGTGGGGCGAAGCGAGGAATATACCATAACCTACATGCGAAGTATTATGTTAGAAACTGAATTGAATGACTACATAGATGAGGAGCTACAAGGTACATGTAGCATCCCATACCCTCAATAATGCAAACCAACCTAGCCTACAAAGTATACGGTACATGGAAATGTACATGTGTACGTTGACAAAGACAACAAACTTCATTTACACAAACTCACACAAGCACAAAACAGAAATATCAACTGACAGTGTCACACACTTCCACTTCCACATCAGCCTAGCACAATCATGTTTCGGAAACCCAGATCCATCATGCAGTGACAAGCAGGGGGCGCATCATGTCATTCTCCTCGTGCTCCAGCATATGACAATGCCACACATACCCCGGACCCGCTGTCGCGTCAAACGGAAGCGCCGACCCATCCTGAGCAGTGAACCTCACAAACAGCTTCAGCACTTGCCCAGGCAGAGCGAGCGTCGTATCCTTCCACCCGCTCTCCCACGCCCCCACCGCCTCCGCACCCCCGGTGTAGCAGCTCGGCTTGCTGCTGCCGCCGCTCAGCGCACACGAGCCCTTGAGGAAGCCCGCGGCGTTGAAGGGGCGGCGGGAGATGGGGCGGTGCTGCACCAGGTGGATGTGAATGGGGTGCGCGTGCGAGCCTGTGTTCACTATGTGCCATAACTCTGACGCTCCTGCTGCAGCCACCTCTGTGGCAGTATCCATGAAGCCCTTGCCATCGATCGTGAATCGCATCATTGACGTCCCCCCGCCCCCCATGCCTCCTCCTCCACCCCCTCCCATCCCACCGCCCCCCATGCCCATCCCCATGCGCCCCCTGATGGCGCTCCTCTGCACAGCATGGGAGGTTGCAGAGATGTTGCTGCTCATGTCTTCCCACATGCCCCACAGCTCCCCCATGCCCCTCCCTCGCCTCCGCACTCTTCTCCCCCTGCCGCCCATTCTCCTGCCCATTCTCCCGCCCATGCCCCCGCCCATGCCTCCGCCCATACCGCTCATCGTCATGCCGGAGATAGTGAGGTAGCGCACCCGAGACACTTGCGAGAGGTCGATGGGGGGTATGGCCTGTGGGCAGGATGAGGCGAGGGGGTAAGTGATGAAGATGGGATATGGTCTATAAATAGGAACGTAAACGAGGAAAGTGAGGCATAGCAGGGAAGAGGCAAGGGGGGAAGGAAGAGGGAATGGGTAGAAGAGATCAAGGTACAGGATTGGGAGCAGGAGAGGAAGAGGTTGAACAAGGGAGATGGTGAGCAAAGGAAAGGGAATGGAAGGGGGATACATGATTAAGAGGAAACAGCTGCAACATGCTTCAACGAAATGAGGTGAACAGGTGGGAGGTGGAGGGACGTGAGGGGTGATGAGAAGAACTGAGATGTCAGTGCACAGTCGAGAAACGGAAAGGGTAAGACGAGAGGGAAGGCAGCGAGGGAGAGGGAGGGGAAACATTGCATTGAGAACGTTACTAGGGAGAGGGAGGCTATAGGCGAATGAAAGGACGCCATGAAACATGGTGAGTTAAGTGAGGAAAGCGAACGACAGGCAAGCGAAGTGCAGCGTTATGACAGCCGTCAATCCAAACTCTTAAGCCTAGAGCCCACATTCCCACACACCTGAAGTGTGGCCGGCAGAGCGGGCGGAGCCACAGCAGCCTCCTGAACCACCTTGAACAGCATCACCGTCCCCACGGCCTTCTTTGCTGTTACCACCTTCTTCCGCCCTGTCACCTTCCGCACTGTCCTCCCCACCGCCCTCCCTGTACCGCCCACCACCTTGCCTACACCGCGAGCCACCCGCCCCATCGGGCCGCCCATGCCGCCCGCGCCCGCGGGGAAGGGCGCGGGCGCGGTGTTGAGGAGGAGGATGTGGCGGCAGGAGGAGGGGAGCGAGGAGAGGTCGAGAAGCACGTCTGCTCGCTCCCCTGGGGCTAGGAGTATTGAGGAGCGGCGCACGGGCGCCGCTAGGTACCCACCGTCTGAGGCTATCTGGAGGTGGGGTGGGAGGGATGGGGGCGGGAGGAAGGGGGAGGGTTGAGGAGGAGGATGTGGTGACAGGAGGAGGGGAGCGAGGAAAGGTCGAGAAGCACGTCTGCTCGTTCTCCTGGGGCCAGGAGTATTGAGGAGCGCCGCACTGGCGCTGCTAGGTACCCTCCGTCTGAGGCTATCTGGAGGTGGGGTGGGAGGGATGGAAGGGACGGGTGAGGGAATTTGTCGCGTTATTAACACTTAGCCGGCAACTAAGTGTGAATTTCGCAGCAGCCAAGGTGAGGGTGTACTATAGTTTACTGCTTTTCGCATTTTTACTTGTGTGCTTGCTTTGGAAGGTTACTGTACTATACAGAGTCGAGCTGCTGAGGATTTCGAGGAGGTTGATGAGGAGGTTGGTGGCGAATTCGATTCCAGCCAGCCTGGGAATTCAATTCGCCATTCACCAGGCTGGAAGGCGGTGCATGCCTAGTGGGCCCAGTGGGACCCAGCTAGCACCTTGAAGCCTACGCGATCAGCTCAGCTGACTCGCGCTTAGGGGTAGAGGTAGCTTGCGGGACAAGGCAACTAGGCAGGAGGGGATGTAGACTGGGGTAGCGCTCAGACTCGTTGCTTTTCGCTTGTATGTTTCTCGTTTACTGCAATTTGCTTTCCTAATCCGAAGGGAACTAGCAGTAGGAGAAGCTAACAGCAATCTGACTGAGCCCTTGCGAGGGAGTTTAGACTTGTTGCATACAAGCAAAAAGACTGCTTACGACTGTCTAGAGTACAGGGGACAGGCTTCATCGCCTGGAGTAGAGCACGGTGATGCGCCGTGAGGCATGAGTGAATTCGATCAGGAGCTTCATACTCATCAACTGCGCTCGGGTCACCGATTCCCTGCGAGGATGATGGAGGGACGTGATCCGCCAATTAGGACGCCTGGATTTCGCGCGGGAGAGGGAGATAACAACGTACGTGGTAATCAAGGATCGGATCGGGAGAAGGAAGGGAGTGGACGGAGAGAACCACCGCTCAGCTCAGCTTGTGATTCACCGGCAGGCGGAAGCGGAATTCGCCCTGTAGGGACTGGACCTAGACGAGGACCTCCTGATCTGGGAGGGGAAGATAATTACGAAGAACGGCGAAGCCAGAAAGGAGGAGACGATCACCATGAAGAACGACGAAGCTTGCGAGAAGGAGACGACCAGCAAGAAGAGCGGCGAAGTCAGAGAGGAGGAGAACAGTATCATGGATTCTCAGCGGGTGCGTACGAAGCCATGGAGGCTGGAAGAGGAGGCCGGCCTGCTGGGAGTGGAGAAAGAGGGACGACAAGCTGGGGAACTGGCAGATCGATGAACGCTGCACCACCGAAAATCGAGGTACCAGATCGCTTCTCGGGGACGCCGGGAGAAGAGCCTACGCTAAAGAACTACCTCATGATGATAGACGACATCCGCTACTGCTGGGATAGGGAAGGGCTGGATCCCATCGAATTTTTCAGAGGTTTGGGAAGGACTCTTAAGGGAGAAGCGCTGACGCATTACCGTGTGGAGAGACAGGGGCTGCTGATGCACAATAAGAGAGGGGACTTCCCAGCTGCGATGATCACGGACCGGTTTTTGGAAAGTCTGCAAGAACAATTCCCGGGGCATTCGGCAGACAGGATGGCAGAATTTCAGAACTTCATTCGAGCCACTCCAGAGTCGCTGCTGGCCTATTACAACAGGCTGCTGGAGCTGGCGGAGGACATGGGCTGCATGGAAGAACGTATCTTGGTGACTAAGTTTGTCAACGGGCTGGATAAAGACTTGATAAGTGACATGAGGAGCCGGCTCTACTCCCTGGGAGTACGAGCCACGCTGCGGCAGGTATACCAGGTGGCGAAAGAAGTGGAAGAAGGGAAGCGGTTTTATGATGGCATGCAGGGGTCGAGTTCCAGTCGGCCGAACGAGCGAAGAAGGCCAGCTTGGGCAGCAGTGGAGGGCAGAAGGGGAGAGGAGGAGCGAAGAGACAGGCCGACAGAAGATACAAGGCGCTGTCATAAATGTGGAGAGCAGGGGCACCTGCGTAGGGATTGTGCGGTGGGGATAACATGCGACACCTGCGGAGCAAAGGGGCATTTCAGAAGAGATTGCCCCAAGGCGCCAATATGTTCCGGCTGCGGGAAGAGGGGACATACGGAAGCTAGATGTTACAGTAAGGGAGAGCGGACGAAAGGGAAATCAGCAAGGGAGTTACAGCTGGAACGGGAGCTGGCTAAACTGAAAGCTCAAATGGAGAAGGCAGAGATAAGCGAAGATCCGGAGAAGGCGCTGCTGGCTTGGGAGGATGATGAAGGAGAGGGGTCTGATGAGGGAGAGCCTGAGTATGGGACGATGGCTATACCACCAAGGGAAAGAGGGGATCTGGGACTGCGCAGTAAAGGAGTAGACGGCAGGGCAGAGCAGAAACAACAGGAGAAGAGAATTAGCAGGCAGCCGGAAGGGAGTGGAAGCTCAAGGACAGCGCGTCGTCATCCTGAAGAACGGCTCGTTTGCCAGCCTACAGCCTTAGTAGTGGAACCCAAAGCGGTAGCCGTACGGGGAATACTGGTGGAAAACGCAGTAGTGGATACGGGGGCACAAAGCGTGTTGATCGGAAAGAAGCTGACAGAGCAGCCGCGGGCCCAGGGAGAGTTGGAGATCGTGAGCAAAGGCATACTGATCATGACAGCCGACGGCGGGGCCCCCAAATGGATGCCCTGCACGCGAGAACCGATCGAGATCACTCTACGGCCCGGGGAGAAAGGAGAGACGAAGATTAGAGTGCAATGTGGGCTGACCGAATCAGAAGACTGCGACATATTACTTGGAATGGAGCTGCTGTTTAAGATAGGTACCATGATTTGTACTTGGGAAGAACAGGTGCTCTACCGCCCAGACTTTCGGGAAGAAGGGAAGGAGTTGAGTGAGTTGCCGGTACGATTCGTTAAGACAGAACCGAAGAAAGCCTGGAGGGCAGAAGGAGGGAGGAAAGAGAGCTTGCGAGGAGGGAGTTCAGAAAAGGAGAATGTTACCGCTAGATTAGATCAGTACAGTATTACCTTGGTGGAGCTGTTCGGGGGGCTGGGAGCAGGCTTGGCAGCAGCACTAGAAGCTGGACTGAAAGTGAAAAAGTGGGTATATGTGGAGTTAGACCCGGAAGTAAGGAAGATGGCGTGGAACCATGCTCTGATGCTACAACAGCAGTACCCAGTGCAACTGACAAAGGGAGTGCTACGGGAAGCCATGCAGAACAAAAAGTGGGACGTGGGGCAGCTTACCAAGGAAGATGTGAGAAGCTGGGGGAAGGTGGATTTACTCGTGGCCGGATGGGAATGCCAGGGCACTTCCAGAGCAGGAAAGGGGAAGGGCTTGCAGGATGAACGTACAGCCATGGTATCCGCTCTTCTGTCAATCATGAGGTGGGCGAGAGAAGCGGGAGGAGAATATGCTTACATACTGGAGCATGTGGATATGAGAGGAGATGCACGGGAGCCAGTCCGAGCAGTACGAGAGCTAGTGGAGGCAGAACTGGGTAGGGGAGTGAGTTGTGATGGCGCACAGCTGGGGGCATGGTGCCACCGAGTGCGACAGTTTTGGCAGAATGTCCTGCCAGAGGGAGAACTGAGGGCAAGACTAGCAAGAGTGGAGAGGGATGGGACTCGGATAGTGGAAGACATTCTGGAACCGGGCAGAGTCGCCGCACCAGTGGTGAAGCCAGATCATCCGCGGCAGTACCAGTGTAACCGAGTGGGAGAGGCACGGAGAGCTTGGCCGACGTTGGTAGCCTACCCTCAGGCTCAGGGGTTCGTGGAGGTGGATGGGCAACCCGGTCCAGGGATGGTGTACGACTACCGAAAGAAGAAGTGGGAAGAGCCGACGGCCTTAAAACGAGAATTAGCCATGGGTTATCTGCCGGGGGCAACAGCTGCGGAGGGAATGGGAGAAGCAGTACGCAGAGCGGCTCTAGGCAGAGCCATAGACCAGCACACATTGAGGTGGTTAGTCAGGGAGATGAGAAAGGGTCCGACCAGCAGGAGAGGAAAGGCAGGGACAGAACAGGGACAATGCATCCTGCAAGCATCATACGTAGCTCTCAGTAAGACCACGGCAGGGATGAAGGCTGACCCCAGGACCACAGGGGGCAAGGAAGCAGAGCCAAGCAAAGACTGGGAATTAGGAGCTGGCATAGGGGAGCAAGTCGCAGCTGCAATTCAGGAGGTACTACGGCAACACAGGAACACTTTCGCGTACAACTTGTCAGAGCTGGGGAGGTATAAGGGGAGAGAGCTGGAGCTAAACCTCACCACGGAGCTGCCCACATATCAACGCAGGAGGAGGATGAATGCAGAGGATGCAGCCATATGTAAGGAGAAGTGCGAAGAGCTGCTGGCTGCAGGGATTATCCGCCCGTCAGAGTCAAGCTACGCCGCAGCCACAGTGGTAGCCGCTAGGAAAGATATTACGGGGAAGGTACTGGCGAAGAGGATGTGCGGGGACTTCAGAGAGCTGAACAAGATCACTAGTCCAGATAGGTATCCAATGCCAGCTGCTGAAGACATCTTCGACCGTTTAGAGGGCGCCATCATCTTCACCACCTTGGACCTGCGGCAAGGGTTCAACCAAATAGCCATTAGGGAGGAAGACAAACGGAAGACGGCGTTCCACGGGGTGGATGGGCTGTATGAGTACAATGTGATGTCTTTCGGGATTCGCAACGCCCCTGCAGTGTTTCAGCGAGCCATGGATCAGGTGCTGAAGGGGATTCCGGCAGCAGCATGCTACATAGATGATATACTGATATTCAGCAGCAGCGAAGAGCAGCACGTGCAAGATCTGAAGCGGACGCTAGAGGCAATAGCAGCTGCAGGCCTAACGTGCCATCCAGACAAGTGCAAGGTAGCAAGGCAGACCGTGGCTTACCTGGGCTTCGAAGTGAAGGGGGGCCGGCTAGCAATACAGGAAGCAAAGGTGAAGGTGCTGGAGAACTTAGCAGCACCCAAGGACAAGACCGGGCTGCGGGCGCTACTCGGCTTCCTGAATTATTACAGGAAGTTCGTTCCGAACTTCAGCCGCCGCGCCTACGTACTGAATCAGCTGCTAAAGGAAGGGAGGAGCTGGCAGTGGGGAGAGCTGGAGGAAACGGCAAGGCAGGACCTGCTGGAAGCAGTACGGACTGGAACACTGCTGCAGATACCGAGGGCAGATGCCCCTTTCATCTTATACACCGACTGGAGCAGCACAGGAATGGGGGCAGTGCTCTGCCAAGAGATAGAGGGAGAGGAGAGAGTGGTAGCCTTCGCCAGCCGCAGCTGCAGCCCATCCGAGGCTAACTACTGCTCTTACGAAGGGGAGGGCCTGACAGCTGTATGGGGGATCACTCACTTCAAAGTGTACCTGCAGGGTCGGCATTTCACACTTGTGACTGATCATCAGCCGTTGCTATGGTTGATGACTCATCAGGAGCTGACTGGGAGAAACACACACTGGGCCATTAAGCTGCTGGGATTCGATTTTGAGATCCGACACCGACCTGGGAAAACCCTGCAGCACGCCGATGGGTTATCACGGAACCCGCCACCTTTGCAGCCGGTAGCACAACTGGCAGCCATGGCTCAAGTAGCGGCAGTAACCTGGGGGCAGGAGAAGGGAAAGAAGCGGTTAGGGGATATATGGGAAGATGAGGAGACCATGAGCTGGATCAAAGGGGAGCCACTCGAAGAGGGAGGAGTGAGCGAGAGGGCCAGGGCCCGAGGACAGCATTTCAGGTGGTTTCAGGAACAGCTGCAGCTGAGAACTAACGAAGGGTGGAAGGTAGTGCCGCAGCCACAGGAGAGGGCCAGGATTATGGGGAACGTGCACGCGAAGCTGGGGCACTATGGCATAACCAGGACGCGGCAGCTGCTGAGCACCATGTACTGGTGGGCGAGCATGGGAAAGGATGTAGCAGGATAAGTGGCGAGCTGCGAGGCTTGTCAGAGGAATAAAGCAAGGCTGGAGAAAGAGAGGGATGAGCTGCATTCGTTACCAATTCACGGGTTGGGCTACAGGTGGTCGCTGGACCTCGCGGGGGAGCTACCGCTGTCGAAAGGGGGGAAGCAGTACATTCTGGTGATGGTTGAGCACACGAGCAAATGGGTGGAGGTGCGTGCATTACCAAGCAAGAACAGCGCACTGATAGCAGACGCATTTGAGGAGCTGGTGCTTACCAGGTATGGGGCATGCGGAGAGGTACTCACTGATCAAGGGACTGAGTTCCAAGGGAGCTTTGATGGGCTGTTAGAGGAGATGGGTATCACGCACAGGGTCACCTCTAGGTACCACCCGCAATCAGACGGACTGACCGAGAGGCTCATACAGACCTTGAAGAAAGGACTTCGGGCCTACAGTGAGACCCACAAAAGGAGCTGGGACCGAGATCTATGGTGGGTACTGGCTGGGTACAGGTTCGCAAAGCAGGCGGCACTGAAGAACCTATCCCCATACCACCTGCTGTTCGGACGGGACCCTGTGCTGCCGGTCGACGCACCGAAGCTGCTCTCTGCGGTTATAGAGGCGGATGAGCCGAACCTGTGGGCGGAGTTAGCATATAAGAGGGCGAAGTATTTGAAGGAGCTGACTCCGGCAGCCCTGGATAATCTCCACGTGGCGCAGTTGCGTGACGCTAGACGATACCAGCAGCGTAAAGCATCAGGGGTGGGAGGAAGGGAAGACAAGGTGGAGGCAGGACAGGAGGTGTACCTCCGCAAAGCTAAGCGCGACACGCTGGACTTGGCTGTGGGTTCAGAGCGGTGGAAGGTGAAAGAGATTCGAGGCTCGGGAGTGTTAGTGCTGGAAGATATCCGAGGGGGAACCATCAAGGAGCACATCACCAACGTGGCCAGGGCGGGACAAGGGAAGCCTCAGGCATTGGGTCCCGTGGCTCGAGCGGCTAAGATGAGCGCTGAGACACGGGAGGGGGCAGGGAAGCCTGAGATATCAGGAGGATTACAGGACGGGGTGATTACCTACACCAGGAGGAAGAAGGGCTGAACCTGTGGTCAGCAGAGCGGTGGCAGGGAAGGAAGGAGATAAGGGAGAATCAGCGGGATACGCATGGGAGAGTGAGAATGAGAGTCTGCAGAGGAGGATTCACGACAGCTGTCGCGTTATTAACACTTAGCCGGCAACTAAGTGTGAATTTTGCAGCAGCCAAGGTGAGGGTGTACTATAGTTTACTGCTTTTCGCATTTTTACTTGTGTGCTTGCTTTGGAAGGTTACTGTACTATACAGAGTCGAGCTGCTGAGGATTTCGAGGAGGTTGATGAGGAGGTTGGTGGCGAATTCGATTCCAGCCAGCCTGGGAATTCAATTCGCCATTCACCAGGCTGGAAGGCGGTGCATGCCTAGTGGGCCCAGTGGGACCCAGCTAGCACCTTGAAGCCTACGCGATCAGCTCAGCTGACTCGCGCTTAGGGGTAGAGGTAGCTTGCGGGACAAGGCAACTAGGCAGGAGGGGATGTAGACTGGGGTAGCGCTCAGACTCGTTGCTTTTTGCTTGTATGTTTCTCGTTTACTGCAATTTGCTTTCCTAATCCGAAGGGAACTAGCAGTAGGAGAAGCTAACAGCAATCTGACTGAGCCCTTGCGAGGGAGTTTAGACTTGTTGCATTGGGAAGCCTGAGATATCAGGAGGATTACAGGACGGGGTGATTACCTACACCAGGAGGAAGAAGGGCTGAACCTGTGGTCCGCAGAGCGGTGGCAGGGAAGGAAGGAGATAAGGGAGAATCAGCGGGATACGCATGGGAGAGTGAGAATGAGAGTCTGTAGAGGAGGATTCACGACAAATTACGTTAAAGGGTTGAGGAGGAGGGGTAGGAAAAAGAGGCAACTCGAATGAGACAAACAATGCAGAGCAGACGGGCTACAGGGGGGGGTAGAAGGGGGCATGGTATAGCAGGACACATGTGTGCGAATGACAGAGACAGTCAGAGAACCACCTCAGGCCCTCAAAATGCACTTCAAAGGACTGGATGGGTGCGAAGCACAGTGAAGTCAAGTCAAGCCCCATAACCCCTGGCCTCATGTCAATGCATAGAGAGCACACGCGCACCTGCAGCACGGAGAGAGTGGGGCCGTCCAGGGGCGGCACGAGGTGCGGGTAGTCCTTCTGGGCGGCGCACTGGAAGTGCAGGCGGTACACGCGCGAGTTGGCCGCCACCAGCAGGCGCAGACGGTACCGGCGGGGCTTCACTGCCATGTACGGCCACACCTGCCAGAGCCAGATGGGGGGAATGGGGGAGATGGGGGAGGTGGTGTGATGGGGGGGGGGCTTTTGAGGCCGCTCAAGAGTCGCAGGCGGTACAGGCGAGGCTTCACTGCCATGTACGGCCACACCTGCCAGAGCAACATAGGACGGGTGGGGGAGTTGGGGGAGGTGGTGTGATGTTGGTGAGCGGGGGGTGTTTGAGGCGCTTCAGAAGGCACAGACGGTACAGGTGAGGCTTCATGGTCATGTACGGCGGCCACACCTGCCCCCCAACCACAGCCCCACACAGGGGGAAGAGAGGGAGTTAGTGGAGGTGTCGGGGTGGGGGCAAGATGAAAACGAGGCGGTGGGATGGGGAGGGGGGGCAGGGCACAAGGAGGGGGGTCGGGACTCGGGAGGGAGGGTGATGGGAAGTGGTGCGAGGAGGATTGCAAGGCGTATGGCAGGAGGAAGGAGCATAGAAAGGCGTGCTAGTAGCGAGGGCTGTGAGGATACCAGAGATTTGAGGTGCTTACCTTTCCAACCCCACCTCGCCTCACCTCACCCCCACCACCCATGCGGATCCTAGTTTCGCCTCGCCCTGCCTCAGCCCCGCCCCAGCCCCACCTCACCTTCCCATTGACCACGTTCACATTGCCGAAGCTCTCCATCTGCATGCCCATACCCATCCCCCCTCCTCCCCCGCCCCCTCCACCATACACCACACTCCCGTCCTTCCGAAACCGGCGATCCGCCAGCACAAGCGGCAACCACCCTGCCATCGCCTGCTCCACGCCTGTCGGGTGTACCACATGGCGTGGAACTAGCTCCCCCCTGCATTGCCCCACCTCCGCCCCCAAGCCCCACCTCACCTTCCCATTGACCACGTTCACATTGCCGAAGCTCTCCATCTGCATGCCCATGCCCATCCCTCCACCCCCCCCTCCGCCATACACCACACTCCCGTCCTTCCGAAACCGCCGATCCGCCAGCACAAGCGGCACATCAAAATCCCCCTGCGGCAACCACCCACTCATCGCCTGCTCCACCCCTGTCGGGTCTCTGATAAGGTACAGCCCGGCCATGCCAGCAGCGGTGTTGAGACGAGTGTATCCCATGGCGTGGTCGTGGAACCAGAGGAGAGTCGGTGGTTGGGCGTTGGGGTAGGTGGTGGTGGCGGAGGAGAAGGCAGAGCCGGTGTCGCCGTGCTGCGAGAACCACGCGTGCGGGTGGCCGTCTGAATGGCTTGGGGACTCTGAGCCGTGCAGGTGGGGGGCTGGAGGGGGGGGAGGGGGAGAAGAAGGGGGAGAAGAAGGGGGAGAAGAAGGGGGAGAAGAAGGGGGAGAAGAAGGGGGAGAAGAAGGGGGAGAAGAAGGGGGAGAAGAAGGTGGAGAAGAAGGGGGGCCAAAAAGAGTGGAAAAGAAGTATAAGATGGAACAAAGGGCGATGGGTTAGGGGTACGTCCTGACAATTCGGAAAACACGTTACACATTCAGGTGAGTGAGACAACCGCAGGGAGTTGCGTACGAGCGCATGTGGGAATGGAAGCATGAGATGGCACCGTGCGCGCGAGAGGCAGTGCGCGCATGCATGGGTAAGAATGGCAAGCAAGGAGAGCCGCGCGCATGGGAGGGAGCCTCCGTGCAAGGAGCTAACGAGTGCAGGGAGAAGACCAGGCAGGAAAATCGATGAAGGAGAGGATTGCGGTGGAGATGGGAAGAGGAGAGGGGAGAGGAGGGGGGAGAGGAGGGGGGAGAGGAGGGGGGAGAGGAGGGGGGAGAGGAGGGGGGAGAGGAGGGGGGAGAGGAGGGGGGAGAGGAGGTGGGAGAGGAGGGGGGAGAGGAGGGGGGAGAGGAGGGGGGAGAGGAGGGGGGAGAGGAGGGGGGAGAGGAGGGGGGAGAGGAGGGGGGAGAGGAGGGGGGAGAGGAGGGGGGAGAGGAGGGGGAAGAGGAGGGGGAAGAGGAGGGGGGAGAGGAGGGGGGAGAGGAGGGGCGAGAGGAGGGGGGAGAGGAGGGGGGAGAGGAGGGGGGAGAGGAGGGGGGAGAGGAGGGGGAAGAGGAGGGGGGAGAGGAGGGGGGAGAGGAGGGGGGAGAGGAGGGGGGAGAGGAGGGGGGAGAGGAGGGGGGAGAGGAGGAGGGGGAGAGGAGGGGCGAGAGGAGGGGCGAGAGGAGGGGGAGAGGAGGGGGGAGAGGAGGGGGGAGAGGAGGGGCGAGAGGAGGGGCGAGAGGAGGGGGGAGAGGAGGGGGGAGAGGAGGGGGGAGAGGAGGGGGGAGAGGAGGGGGGAGAGGAAGGGGGAGAGGAGGGGGGAGAGGAAGGGGGAGAGGAGGGGGGAGAGGAGGGGGGAGAGGAGGGGGGAGAGGAGGGAGAGGAAGGCGGAGACGAGAGAGATGGCATGACAGGCGGTGGGGCAGCGGTTTTGCACAGATGGGGATGCCGCCTTGGGCGGGGCGGGCGACGTGTGAGAGCGAGTAGTCCACCCCAAGCATGTGCTGCTGGTCGCTCACATGGTTCTCCCACTTCACCTGCCAGCCAGCCGCCGCCACGTGCGGTATCGCCATGTGTGCATGGCGGCATGGGGGAGGGACGGAAGCAGGGGAGTGGGGGGCAGAAGGGGGAAGACGGATGAGTGGGGGGACACGCTGGGGTTACAAGATGGAAGGCGCTCGCTTTCTCACACACACAACAGGATTGTATTGTGTGATGAGTACGGCATGGTGCCGCGAGTGGAGGTTGTGGGGCGTGTGTGCGCGTACCGTGGTGGGCGTGTGTGCGCGTACCGTGGTGGGCGTGTGTCTCTGTGCCACAACGAGAGGGCCGGGGTAGCTGGCGCTCTCCCGGTCCACACCGAACACGTATTGCTTTGTCGCTGGCAGGTCACGGTGAAACTTCTGCACGCCGACACGGACGGAGGGGTGGGGGGGGAGGATGTAAGAAGGGACGGCGGGTGAGGGGCAAGGCAAGAACGAGAGAGGGGAAGCCAGGGGGGGGAGCGCAAGAGATACAAGGCATAGGGGTGTTGCGGAGCACAGTGCCGGGACGCGAGCGGGAGGCAAGGCAGGTGTTCGATGCAAAACGTTATTCAGAACGTCAGCGCAGCATGCCCAGGACCACTGGAAAAAACGGGGGTTACTATTCAGAGGCGCCGCGGTTGCCCTTTAACCCGTCGTATAGGCCCGCAGGCGTTACACTCACGATGCGTTTCTGGAACACCCCGATGGTGACGGCGCTGCCCGTCGCGCCGTCAACCTCCACCAGCGGGGACACCGCCAAGTCATCCACAAAGCGGCACAGCGCGCGCTTCGGGAACCCGTTCACGCACGCGGGACCCGGCGCCGCCGCCGCTGGTGCCGCGAAGCGCGCGATGGATGCCGCCGCGAAGAACATGACGAGGAGCGCCGCGCGCGTGGGGGTGGCGGGCGGCTTGAAGCGCGCGGAAGAACGCGCGACGGACGGACGGCGGGCGGTGCGCGGAGCGCGGCGGGGGGAAGTCGCGGGCGGCATGGCTACTATCGGCGAGAGATGGAAGGTTTCAGGTTCAGTGGCAACGGCGGCGCGGCGCGAGAGTGGCGGAGGAAATGCGGACATAGAGTGCGGCGGAGCGGAGGTTTGCGGGTGGAGAGACGGGAGCGGAGCGGCGCTTTACGGGAGCGGGAGGTACTCGCGATCGCAGAGACTTTTTCGCGGAGTCTAGGAGGGAGAGATGATAAGGAGATGGCGTCCTTGGCCGAGTTAGCTGAAGGCCGTCCATCTGTGGCAGTCACGAGTTGTGTGAGTCGAGACACATGTGTCACGTGCGTGCTATGCATCGCGGAAATTCGAGCGACGCTTTTCCGAATGGGCAGCATTGGGTCACAGGCGAAATTTTATATGTACCGTATGCTCTGGTTTTTTGGATGCGCTGTCGACGACGTAAAGTGCGTGTGGGAGGGTGGGACGGATGAGTTGTGAGCTGGGTATGCTGAAGGTTCGCCGGTAGCTTCGCTGTTTCCGTTTCCGTTTCCCCCGTGTGACGGCGAGGGGTGGATGGAGGGGAGCAAAGCAGAACACAACTCAGCACAGCAGAGCAATGCTGTGGAAGAACGTGCCCACCACCAACCTTGTTGCTTTCTCTTAGCATGCGGTTTAGTTGGGTTTCGAAGGATCCATCACGGTTTCTGCGGAAAGCAAATGCTGAAGGAAACGGGCGAAGAGAACGCACGCACAACAGCTTCTGCAAAATTCCGACACCACCCAATTTGCAGGAGTGGGAACACTTTGTCGGCACGCAGGGTGGTATGACGCCCCCTTAAAGCCGTTGACCCAAATTGCAAGCCGCGCGCGTCAAGCTTTTAATACTTGACGCAATGACTTTCGGGTTACCGAGTTTAGAGTAGGCTGAAGTCCGCGCGACACAATTGAGGAAATGAACCAATGATAACATATCCCCAAGGGATGGGAGCCAATGAAATTGAACACAATTGTGTTCCGTCGCAGCCCAGGGTTCTGAAGAACCTGTCTTGCCAACACTCACCCAAAAACTTGAACCAGATTGAGCGCAATTTGGAACTTCAAAACACAAACTAGCACCAGCTGCAGAGCCGTACAATAGGCCATCACACATCCCTGGCACACCACGATTGCCCATAGCACACCTGATAGCATTTCGACGCCATCACGAGGGAGTGTAGGGTGCAACCAGCAAATCTTACAGTTTAGAATGATGGTCGTACGGGAAGTGTCCTGGTTATAGCGCAGAGAGGATAAATCGCAACGGCGGTTGTAACGACGGTCGCGTTCGCCGTCACGGCCATGATAATTACAGCCATGGCGGCACGCCGTCGACTGGCCATGTAGCCTCGGGCTGATCGCCACCTTCGCCCTTACGCGCCGCGTCTCGCCGCGCGGTGATTCGTCGCGCATAGTTTTATGCCGTGGTGAGAGGTTGCGCCACGCATCGTGCCTGAATGAACGCGTCGTACATACGAACTACACGGGCGGGTAAAACGCCGACTCGTCATTGCATCGGTGGAGCGAATGGCCGGAAATGCGCGCGACGCTTACAAACAAGCGCATCGGTTTAGGGTTTCGCGACCAAGTTCGACATGTGGTTGCGAATCAGACACCTCGTCGTCAAGGCTACCAACGCATACCTAATGTCGTGTCCGACAGTTCATGCCTCAAGACCCCCTCAAATCCACCCATCAAATCCCCCCTTCCCACCTTTCGAATGCGACCCCACTGTCCCCATGCCCCTTTGCAGCCCTCTCTCCCCGCCGTCTGTCTGTGGAATATGGATGGGGCATCGCTGGATTCGGAGAGCGTCACCCCACGCCGTCTGGCTCGTACGCCCTCCTCTCCCCGCCTTGTTTGTAAGCGTCACCTTTCCCTCATCCCCTCCCATCTCCATCCGAGCCCACCTCTTCCCCTCGCCCCTCCCTTCCCCACACCTCCAATCCCTCCTCTCACCTTCTCTCTCCGTTCCGCCGCAACCACTCATAGCCTACCATCCCCTACGCCCCGTCTTCTCCTCTCAGCCGCTCCACGCAAGCCGCCCCTCCGCCTCTCCATCATGCCGCTGCTACAGTCACCGTTTCGTCTTACGACGTCTCTTCTGGCGCCGTTGCGCCTGCTCCCTTACCTCCATCCACGGCAGCAGAAGGACTTTCCCACTCCGTCTCTGCTCCCTGCTTCTCCATGGAGCCCCGTAATTGGCTGGAATACTCAGGACGGGCCTCCACGGATCTCCTGGGCTCGTAGACCCGTGCCATGGATTCCGAACCTGCAGGCGATGCTCGGTCGTCCCTGGCCTTGCTGGCGTCGAATCTGGTCCCTCCATTGCAGCTTCGGCGGCGACAGGACGTTTTTGCCAAGTAATTTTAGTAGGGTTGGGGGATGAGATCGACGGATGGTGTGTGAGAGGGTTCGTTCTTTTTTGGAAGAGGTAGTTGCTGGTTGGAAGAGGTAGTTGCAGGTTCGGAGGGGAAGATGCAGGTGGAGAGGTGTAAAGTTGGGAACATTTTCTGGATGATTTGAGGGCGGCAGTTTTCAGGTTTAGGGATAGGGTTGGGTGAGGCAGGAAGGCGAAGACCTAGAGAAGCTTGCTTTGTCATTCTTCCTCGTCCAGCTGCTGCTGCTTCTGCTGCTGGACCTGCTGGTAGCGCTGATGGCGGTGCGTGCTGGAGCTGGCTTCACCACGGACACGGAGTGGGGCTGCAGATGAGGGTATATCACCAGTTCACTCTTCCATTCCCCCCTTCCCCTCCTCCTCCTCATCTCGCTATCACAGGCTCGACTCTCCTCCCAACCCAGGCGAGTAGCGATCTGGCGAGCCAAACCATACGAAACAAAAACCAGAGGACAGCAATGAGCCATCCCGCGCTGGTCCTGCTGGGGCTGGTTGTGACGGGTGCCCTGGTGCTGTCTGTGCGTCATGCTGCCTTAGTGATCGCCTCCCACGGCGGCCAGAGCAGCACGAGTGGTCAAAGTGAAGGTGAGGCTAATAGTGGCACTGGTGGTGCTGCTGGTGGTACTAGCAGGTGCTGGGTGGATGCTGTGCTGCCTCATTGATCCTCTCTCATGGCTGCCTGAGCGGCACAAGTGGTCAAAGTATGGTTGTGAGGGAAAATGAGGCACTGGTGCTGATAGTGGTGCTGGGCTTAATGTTGCTGGGGGTGTGGTTGGTGCCAGCAGGTGCTGTGGTGGTGGGTATGGGGCCCGTTGCCTCGTTGATCCTCACCCGTGGGTACCAGGCCACAAGTGGTCAAAGTGCGGTGAGGGAATATGAGGCGCCAGGTGCCACTAGTGGCGCTAGTATGATGTTCATAGGTTTCGCCGGGGGTGGTTCTAGCTGGTGCTATGGCCGTGGGTGTGCCTTGTCCTGCCTCATTGATACTCTCCCATGGAGGCCAGACCTCGAGTGTTCACAGTGCAGGTGAGAAAGTACGAGGCAGTGGTGCCGAGGGTGGCGCTGGTGGCGCTAGCGGTGGTGCTAGCTGGTGCTGTGGCTGCGGGTGTGCGTCATTGATACGCTCCCAATTCAGCCTGACCTGAGCAGCGCGGCACGGTGGGCGAAGTGCAGGTAAGGGGAAGTGAGTGTACACTCAGGCAGTGGTGCTAATAGCGATGCTAACTGTGGTCAAAGGTGGGTGCAATGGGGGCCACAGCCATGGACAACAGCACGAAGCATCTCAGAAGATGCCTCGGAGATCAGCAGCACTGGGAGGGTGACGCATGTCAGAACATGAGTGGCTTTTGAGAGTTCTGAAAAGCCAGAGCAGGGCAGCAGCACTGGCGGGTTGGTTTTTGTCCAAATTGGCGCATCTTCACTTCATTCTCGCCTCTTGACTGTGGACCGAATTTCCGTCTCTCGCTAGCCACTCCCCGCAGGGACTAGTAGCACCCCTGAGGCCCATGGCCGCAGCAGGGTTTAGGGGGTGAAACTCGTAGAGTGGAAAGACTCGTAGAGGGATGCCGGAGGAAGAGGGGTCGATGCCTCGATTGGCTGTGGACTGGAGTGAGGAGGAGCGGGGGAGGATGGAGTGGGTAGGAAGGGTAGGAGCTGAGACGGGAGTGGAGGAGAGAGGGGAGGATACAGGCGAGTTTTGGGTGAGGCGACGGGTGGGGGGAGTGAGAAGGGCGGGAAATAGAGTGGGTAAGGATCATGCAGTGAGAAGAGGGAGGAGGAGAGCGGTTCGCAAGGTGATGGACGGTGGGGTAAGCGGTAGGGGGTTGCAGGAAAGGAGGAGGAAGCGAAGACGATGGAGAGGAGGGGGTGGGGTAGGGAAAGAGGGAGGGAGAGTGAGGGAGTGTGAGGGGGTGATGGTGGGGGAGTGGCCCGTAGTGGATGGGTTGGCTGCTGTGGGAGCACTCATGGCTGAGCGGGGGAGGCGAGTGAGGGAGGGGAGGGGAGAGGAGAGGGGCGGGGCGAAGGAGAGTGAGAATGGTGCCAGTGGCGGTGTTGGTGGTGGGGGGCAGAGCAGCAGCAGCAGCGGTCTTCCTTCCATTGGGTGTGTGTCTGCTGTCTTCCTGCTATTCTTCTGTTTGTTTGGTGCATGTTCTGGATTGTTGTGTCTTCTGATACGCACAGAAGTTTGTTTCAGCTTTACGTCAGACGGACTGAAGCAGCTGTTTCGGGAGAGTTCTCGAAAGCTATTCTGATATTCGTGATTTACACCTGCTGCGTCCTTGAAAGTACATGCATGCCGTTTCCTACTTCCTCTTTCCCCATCAGCCCAGTTACCTCATTCCCTATCTTCCTGCAGCCTTCCTGCACATGTCTGCATGGCACAGGGACCAGCCTTCACATAACCAGTAGCAGCAACTGTCTTCAGCATGATGTGGACCTCCAACAGCCAGACCACCCTACATAAATAGTCACGCCAAGCAGTAGATCCATGCTAGTAAAACACAGGCTACAAAACAACTCTATTGCATGAGTCTTGTGTTGTTACAATGTTTAGTTTGAGCATGCTTCACCTGTACTCTATGGACACGCGATAATATAGCCCACTCAATCATCGGTGGGTTGCGACACCCGGAAAAAAAGAAATGCCATGAGCACATGCCTGTGTCTTGCCTAGCAACCTTCCATGCCGGGTGGGATGCTG